GGCAACCCCAGAACATGATGCTTCTTTCCTGGCACAGAGCAGCAAACAGAGAAGTAGATGAACAGCAAGCGCTGTTTGGAGAAATTTCTTCCCCATCCTTCTGTGTTGCTTTACTAAATGTTATTTTCTTTTGTTCAATATTTTAAAAAGACATTTGGCAACGCACTTTAAAAGCATAAGGTGATTCTTCCTACATTTTATTTCAGATTGACAACATGGGAGTCTGGAGTATTTCTAGGAACAGTTAGGAACAATCAGAAAATAGGATCAAGACATCCATCCATGTGGTTCTAAATATCACAGTGCCCACCAAACAAGGACTTCAAGAAAATGCGGTGACACTATCCTGCTTTGTATCACATGATGTTTGAAAAACAGTTCTCCACAGAGACGTGTCTCAATATTTTAGGTGCAATCAGTCTGGAACAGCTCAGTTCTCCTTTCCACAACAGATGAATTTACAAAGTATGTGTAAAGATCATCATGATGCTCCCTGGTTCTTCGTGTGTGTGTAAAACACCTATTTACATTGAAGGCAGGAAAGCCACTTCCTGCCTTACACAAAAAAACAAACCCGCAGCTTCTCACATTCTTACAACAAAAAAACGAACCCACAGCTTCACACAGTCTTCCACAGCTGAGAATCATTCGTAGAAGTCTATGGTCTTTTATGGCAATGTTTGTGGCTGGACCATGTATCATAGAATAGCCTCACTGACTCTACCTTAAAGGGAAACCTGGCTCACCGGCACAATAACATTCTGTTTATCTGACCTATAATTCTGAATCCTTGAGAGTCTGAGAATGTTGGAACTGAAAGATCTCAGAGATCCCTTGATTTTCAGGAGGAAACTGATCCCCAAAGAGGTTATGTGACTTGCTCCAAATCACACTGTTAATTAGGAGAAAAGCTGGGACTAGAATCCAGGTCTCTGGTTCCCCATCTTGTGTTTTTTCCTCTATGTCATGCTGCTAAAAGCACATCATCTTTTTACCTTACTGAAACTCAGTTTTCTTACTTTGAAATGAGAATACTGACATGTTGGCTGTATTGAGAGGAACATGGATAGGAAGGTCCAATTCAAGTTTAACAATTGAATCCAATAAGCATTTATTAAGCACCCATTATTTATTAGTCTAATTAGAATACAAAATTGAAGGCATTCCCTGGCCTCATGGAGCTTACAGGCTGATAGTGCTATAAAGTCAGAGAAAGATTGCACTTAGCACTTCATTTTGGACCCTGATAGCTATTTAGTATGGACTGAGAGTTTGATCTTCAATGCCTAGAATATATGTGGATCTATATTTAATACAAATATTTCTGAGATCAATTCATGGGAGTATATTTTATAGAGATATTTACTGATATTAAGTGTGAAACTTGGTTATGTTCAACCCCTTGGGATTATATAGCACCTTCTGGAGTCCAAAGGCTTATTACTTGAACATCTGATTATCCCATTCATTTTCCATAACATCTCTAGGGGAATAAGGGAATTAATACTTATTTTACCTATGGAGAAATTGAGGTTAAGGGTTTTGGCCAAAGTAACAACCTGTGCCAATTCCCAATTCCCTCTTCACAAAAAAAGTGGGATGCTATCAGTTTTCTAAATATCCATTTTATTCAAGGATCTCCAAATGACTAATAAATGATATAATTTGTCTTAACAAAATGGGGGAAAACATACTAGTAAGTTAAATGGTTTGTCCCCAATTCATATAATAATTCATTATTAGGGTTGTGGGTGGGAGGGGGAAGGGATGAAGGAAAGAATTCCCACTACAGTTAGAAGAGGGCTTTCTCTGCCATCACAGGTAAAAGGGAATATCTCCTTTCAGAGGACAGAACCAGAAGCAATGAATAAAAGTTGCAAAAAGGTGAATTTATGATCAATGCTAGGGAGAAAAAAAACTTCCTAACAATTAGAACTGCCCCAAAATGGCATGAAATGCCTCAAGAGGTGATGTATTTCCCTTCGATGGCGGGAAGGTTTCAAGCTGGATGACCACTTGTTGGGCATGTTATAGTAAAGAAATGTGGGTGTATGGGTTGGACCATCTGGCTGCTAAAAATCTCTCCCAACTGTTAAATTTTTGATTCTGTGACTGAGCCACTATGACCTTCAGTGTATATTTAATTAATTCATTCATGTATGTTCTCTAGTTTCTGCTTTCCACATCAATTTTACATCTAAATTCTACTCCAAATACCAATACTTCTGGGGTTTCTAAGAACCTTTAGAAATGTGTCTCTGGGCATTTTTTGCAATGTTCTTTGAATCTTTCACTTTCCAAGAACTGGTTTTCTATGACATATGCAAGAGGTCTCACAAAGGACCCAGAGGCTAGTTGAAGGGCTTGTCACAAATGTCACTATCAAAGCACATTCTTCAGAGTGTTCTGGTGCTGACTCCTGTGAACAGCACGTTGTTGTGAGTTGTAGAATGAGGAGGAAGAGTGGCAGCAAATATTATAGCTGGCCCTCCATTTTCTGAGATGACCTCTCGAGTCAGGTCTGGATTGAGGTGTCCCCAGGGGGTATCTATCCTCTTTTGACCTCAGTCACCAAGGAAAGCTCTGAATCACCTACTCTCACTGGGACCCTGCTCTTAGGGTAGCTCTAGATGAATCCAATTTTCTTGGTGCATTTGAGTGGTTTAGTTTAGTTACGGGATACATGAGGACACACTCTCTAAAAACAAACTTGAATTGATGCCATTTTCCATTTATCTTTTAACCCACAGTGACCTACCTTGAGCAAACTTCTATGAACACTCCTAAAAGAAGTTGAACCATCGATGGTGCTATAGCAGTTTTGTGAAGAAACACAAAAACATTTACCTCCATCAGCCTTCTCATACATCATAGTGAAGACATTTCCACACTTTCCACAGGAAGCTATCTGGAGAGCCTTACCTAATAACTTTATTAGGTTGACTCTTGGTCAGACCCTCTATACTCAAGTAATGAAAAACTACCATTACCTGGGACAGGACAAGGTTTTCAACTTTCCAGATCTATTTCCAACATTACCTGAATTTCCAAAGAGAGGGGGCAATAGTACCCGAGCTTTATCCTCCTCCACTAGATCAGTAATCTCACTGATTTGGGTATTCTCTTAAACCCATGCCTACCTATTCTGTAGATATCCTTTTCCATGTCCTCTCCTAAATTCACTGCAGGAGATCCACTCCACAGCCTGAGGGCCTTCCTCACATCCCCTTGACATCAGAGGATACCATTGGGAGTACCTGGGCTATTCATCAGTCATCCCATTATGACTACTTTTTTAAGCATCATGCGATGCTTTTTTTAAAAAAAGTTTCCGCTAGAACCTATCTATGTAAAGAGTAATGCCTACGCAGTAACTCCATTTACAACAGAGGAAGCTTCAAAGCATTAGTAAGAACTAGTGTCTGTTTGTAATAATTCTAAGAATTATAACCAATGACATTTAGTTGACTCCTTGGGTTCCAGTTCCACACCTTCCCCCAACCACCACCACCCCAGTCTATATAGAGATAAGGGCAGAGCTTAGCATGTGGAATTTCAATTTTCAGGAGGGACATCTTGACCCCTAATGGATGTTAACCAAAATTGATTGAATATTTTCATTTAGCTGATAGGTACAATTTAGGGGTTTCCTTACATTTTTAATGTTTAGGCTGGGAAATAGAATGTGCCATTGAAGTGGTCTGCTTGATGTAAGACCAAAGTGAGCCACGGTTGTCTCCTAGTGAGGAGTGATTAAGATAATTCCTAAATGAAGCAGCTTCTTTCCTCAACTTGTTCCTCTAATAAACCAAGTTGATCTTTGACAAGGAGTATTAGGATTTCTAACACATCTTAATCAGAATGCTGTTCCAGGAGTGTTTGCATCTGTTTGGCATTTGACTACGTGTGTGTTTGTATATGCACACAAATATATAATTGCAAATATATACGCATTTTATATACACACATATATACACATATCTACATACACAATATGACTAAAATTACAATGCAATTATATGTAACATATATATTCATAGTTGAAATATATATATAATATATACATATACTTGGCAATGTGAGAGAGAGCTGTTTAAAGGAAGAGGTTCCTTACAATGAAGCAAAACATAGAATTCCTTTTTTTTTTTTTTTTTTTGAATGACAAAGTTAAATGAAAATGTAATAAACTGTAAGACCTCTCTGGCCAAAATTGCCCAATTTAAATAATTTTAAACTAAATTTTTATTTGTTTTACAAATAGTTGACAGCTCTCTTCAAATATGTGAAGGGATATCAAATGGATGAGATATTAAGAGTTTTTTGGTTTGGTCCCTGAGGCCAGAACCAGGAGAAATAGATGAGAGTTAAAAAGAGATGGGCAGCCTTGTGAAATGGAAAACTTCCTAACCACTAGAACTCTTCCAAAATAGAATGGGTTGTTTTTCAGGAAGTAGTTGGTGTCCCATCACTGGATGTTGCAAAGTTGAGGTGTTGCCTTGTCAGCTATATTGTAGAAAGGATTATTGTTCGGGTATGGGTTTGGACTATAGCTTCTTTGAGGTCCCTTCCAATTCTAAAGTTCTATGATTCTGTGAATGCCACTACATGTATAAATATGGAAAGAGAACCAGGGAATGTTAAAGCTGGAAGGAACTTTAGAGATTGTCTAGTCTGCTATTCCTAGCTCCATTTTATAGATGGGAAAACTGAGGCTCAGGGAAGACAAGTGACTTGGCCGAGATTCCATGACTAATAAATGATAGAGCCATATCCTTAATCCAGATCTTCTGATTCCTGGTACGGTGTGCTTTCCTTTATACTATACTGCTACAATGGAGGATGGAGGAACCAAACAACATATTTGGCAGGTCCCCATATATATCCTACAGATTTCCTGAAAATACTTCCGGCTTCACAGTTGATGCAGCAGAATGACTGAAACAACTCACTAATATCCCCATTTCTTCTCAAATGAAAAACATATCTACTTAGAACATGTAGGCTATTCAACAAGGGAAAAACAGCATGATCTTATTAACACTGGTAAATCCGGACTTCTATAAATAGACTTAAATAACAAACATATACATATTTATATATACATAGCTATATATTCACACAGGCCATAAAGTGACAGATAACCTTACAAAAATAAAACCAACTATGAATCAGCTCAAAATTTTTTTTTCATTTCTTTGAATAAAGAAATTGAAAAACTTCAGGTGCCAAAAATATCCTTGCTGTGTGGCTCCTAGGGCACCTGGACACAAATGCAAATCCTGTAGTGGTACCACAGTCAAGTCTACAGGCAGCAGACACACCTTTCCCGATGCATGGTTAACTCCTGTAGTTGATGAAAAAAAGTCAGAAAACAGATGTTCCCAAGTGGCACAAGCAACATCTTTCCACGTGCTGTAGAATTTCCCCAACCAGTGTGAAATTTGAAAATGTCAAGTAGTCCTTTGAGTCCACAAATGACAGAACATCACTCCCATGGAATAGCTCTCTTCTGAGTCTTTCTTTTTTTAAATGCCAATGTATTCCCTTTAACTGGATGTGGAAATGAGATTGGTGATCTGCAACCCCAAAGACAAGATTCTGAATTAAATAGCAACAATACAAAAAAGTATTTATACTGTATTCTTCCCATCTAAAAGTGACATGGGAAACATGGCAACCCAACAAGATAGACCACATATATTCTTTTTTACATTCTCTTCCTGTTACCGAGGGATTGAATCATGAAATTATCAAAATCACTGTGAGTGAATCCCTTCTCTATTCCACAGATTGCTGTTGTATGTTCCTTGAAATAGATCATGTCCCTCTCCCCACTTCCTTACCTCTTATAGCACCTCGTATATAGAAGGCCCTCAATTGTATATACCTGAATTAAAGTGATTGATCCATCAAATGGATATACTGTCATTTGAAATTGAGATTCCATGCATTAGCTAATTTGCTTCCAGTGAAGTTGCTTTATCAGGCCAGATCTCTGGGGAATAGTTTTTAGGTCTCCTTTTAAGGAAAAATGTAAGACTTTGTAGCAGTTTAAAGGGTTGCCGAGGATAAAACAAGGTAAGGGAGAGAGTTCTGACTGGATCTCAAATAGAACTCTCAACATGGGCAAAAGAAGATGGTTCCTCAGGTTCCAGGTAAGGCCCTTCAGTGGCCGTCTTTGCACCCTGCTGTTGATAGATCTCCTGAACCAACAAGCTGTTTGTGCTTTTCCATTCTCTGTACTTCTTGGCCGTCAGCTTTGGATCCTCCAACAACTGATTAATCATGGCTAAGTCATGTTCTTTACACTGGTAAAGGAGAAAAAACAAAAATCAAAAATGGAGTCATATTTTCCATACAATCTAAAGAACCAGGATTAGTCCTTTCAAAAAATTACTCCTTTTATTTATTAAGTGCCTACTATGTGCCAAACACTGTGCTAAGTGCTAAGAATAAAAGGAGAAAGTAAAAATGGCCCCAGCCCTCAAAGAATCCACTTTTAATCAGGGATATAACATGGAGAACTCTATACAGAGAAGACAGATACAGAATAAGTGAAAGGTAACCTCAGAAGACAAGGCATTAACATCTGGGGAACCTGGGAAAGGCTTCAATCAGGAAGTGAGATTTGAGCTAAGTCTTGAAGGGAATCAGGGAAATTAAAGAGGTAAAGGTGAGGAGGGATAGATTCCGGGCACAGACAGTGCAAATACATGGAGAAAAGAGATGGAGAACAAAAGAAAACTTAAAAGAAGCAAAGAAAAGATGGACAGCTCTGAACACAATGTGTTAGTATTTCTTACATAGGCTTTCTTGAAATGGAAATTTATTGTTGTATATTTTGAACCCTCTCTTACATTCTGCTGTGCATATGGCAAGGTTTTTTTTTCTTTTCTTATTTTGTATTTAAGTTTTAATATTTAAGTGCATAATGTTTCTTTTCTTATTTTATATTTAAGTTTTAGTATTTAAGTTTAAAATTTTAAAAAAATTTAGAAAAAAAAAGAAAGGAGATGGAGTACTTTGTGTAAAGAATAGTAAGCAGATCAGCGGAAATGAATAGAAATAGAACTTGTGGAGGGAACTAAAATGTAAGACTGGAAAGGTAGGAAGGGGTCATATTGTAAAGGGCTTTAAATGCCAAACAGAGAATTTTCTATTTGGTCTTGAAGATGACAGGGAGTCGCTGGAGTTTATTGAGGGGATTGGGGTGGGAATGGGGTATCATGATTTTCCTTACTATAGGAAAATCACTTTAGCAGCTGAGTGCAGGACAGAATAGAGGGGTGAGAGACTTAAGGCCAGGAGACAAATGAGGAGGCTATTTCAGTATATCACGTGTGAGGTGATGAGAGATTGAACTACTTAAGTGGTAACTACTTAAGTGGAGATAAGGAAACTCAAAACAGGAGATGTTGGAAAGATAGAAATGACAAGATGTGGCAACAGGATGGATCTGTGGTGTGAGAATGGGGATTTAAGAATGAGAATTCAAGGCTGTGGGAGTAACCCAAAGGATAGGTGCGCCCTCAACACAATAAATAATTTCAGAAGCAGAGAGGGTTGTTGTAGTGAAAGATAATGAGTTCTGTTTTAGATATGTTGAGTTGAGATACCTACAGGATATCTACTTCAAATGTGCAAAAGGAAATTGGAGATTGCCTAGAGCTCAAGAGAAAGACTAAGGTTGGGCATATACATGCAGGAATCACCAACAAAGAATAAAAATTGAATCTATGACAGCTGATGATCTGACCAAACTGACAAAGAAGAAGCAAAGGCACCTACCCTACTATAGAAGGCTTTTTCAAGGAGGTTAGCTGATAAAGAAAGTAGAGTCCAACAGTTCAGTCAGCCAATCATCAATCATTTATTAACTGCTTACTATGTGCCAGGCACTGTGCTAAGCAATTGGAATACAAACAGAAAAAGAAAGACAGTCCTTCCCTCAAGGAGTTCATGTTCTAATGTGTGAACATAAAAGGAAGCTGATGGGGGAAGAAAGGAGTGAGAATGCACCAGACACAAAGCCTTGAGGAGAGAATTTGTAGTACAATCTGGGGAGGGGGATGAAGACATCTTTGATCTGGATCTCCTCCTTAAATTGGTGGCTCTGGGAGGAATTAGCCAATGAGAAGGTGAGGGCTCAGGAGTGGAAAGTACTTCCAATGTAAGAAATAATCCCTGGGTGAAGTGAGCTTCCACAGTGACGAGAACGGAAATATGGGATTACAACTAACGGGTTTGATTCCAATGAGGGGTTATGTTTTGTTTTGTTTTTTTTAAGGATAAGGTAGACATGGACATTGTAGGCAGCAAAGAAGCAGCTAGTAGACAATGAGAGATTGAAGATTAGAAGCAGAGTGAGGATGATAGTGGGGCAATATGCTGGAGAAGACAGGAGGAGTCAGGATCAAGAGTTCATGATGGAGTTAGTCTTAGCAAAGACAAAGGCCACCTCCTTCATCTGAGATAGGAATAAAGGAAGAGAAGGTTAGGAAAAGTATTTTTATGCAATAGGATGAAGAGAAGAAGAACTGGCAAATTTATCTTGGAGGCAATGAGGGTTAAGTGACTTGCCCAGGGCCTATAAATGTCTGAGGCTGGATATGAACTCAGGTCTTCCTGACTCCCAATCCAGTGCTCTATCCACTATGCCACCTAAATGTGACTTATTATTATTTAAGATTTTTTTAATGAGAAATGGGGAGGCGAGTTGATGAATTAAAGCTAAAAATCATAGTTGGCCTAGAAGGCACAAAAGGGAAAGAGTACAGTTGAAAAATTAGAGTGACAATAGGCAGGTCAACTAAATTTGGGCAGGAAATTATACAGTGGATAAAGTATTTGATTTAAAGTCAGAAATGCTATGCTCAAATTTTTAATCTTCCATTTACTGCCTGTGTGATATTAAGCAAGTAATTGAACATTATCCCTTCAGTCTCAGTTTCTTCATCCAGAAAAGGGGTAGTGGGGGTTGGACAAGATGATGACCTCTCAGCTCCCTTCCAATTCTAAATCTCTGATTCTAAGTCATATACATAGAGAGTAAATACATTTGGAAGGACCTGGAAGACTTATTTTTTAAGAGAAGCACTACTTGCCCCTTCTATGTACTTATGTTCAATTTTTTTTTAGAAAAATGTCGGGGAGTTCTGGTTAGCTTCCATGTTCTAACATGTAGGCTTCTTCATTCATCTTTATAACTTCCCTGGGGCCTTGGGCACAAGAGGATTAGAGGAGTTGGAAAGGAAAGGGATCTTAGAGATTTTTATAGCCACCTCCCTCATTTTATAGAATAGGATATTGGAGCCCAGATGTGAGTGCCCTCCTTACCCAAGATTACGTTATATCTATTTTTTATACACATGTTTTATATATATCTATTTATATGAATGTTCTCTCCCACATTAGAATGGGAAATTTTTAAGGTCAGGTATTGATTCCTTATTGTCTTCTTATCCACAGCACATATCATGAGCCTGGCAGGTAGCAATTACTGAATAAGTGACTACTGATTGATTAATCTTAATTGATTGATTGATTAAATGACTAGCCCAAGTTCATATGAGTAGTAAGTAAGGCAACTTACTCAAGGTTTGAACTTTTAAGTAACACAGCTCCAGATTCAGAAATAGAGAGACCATCATACCATAATACCTCCCAACAAATATACATTGAATAAAACTAAATTGTATTTCCAGGATCTAGATTTTAAACTTATAAAGAATTTTTCTTCCATTAAGATTGACAGTGTGTTCTAATCACACCATGATATTTTAATCAATAATTTTAATTAAGTGCCTACTATGTGCCAGGCACGGTCAAGATTTTTACATTGTTCTTAAGATACTTCTATTGCTTAGAAAACTTAACACTTTATTCTTCAAATATCTAGCTTTTTGGGAAATTTTACAAAATAAGCATTTTCTTATATGATTAATAGTATTCAACTTGACCCCAAATATAACTACTGTATTGGGGGAGGGGGAAGAATCTTTTTTCTCTGTTGGGTCCAAAACTCACATTACCCTTGTATTCTACTAAGCAACCTCCACCATATTTGTCTCAATCTCTGGGTTTCCTTTTTTATGAGTAGAAAGGGAAAGGGGTGGGCATTAAAGAAAGAAGTGAATAAAAAAAAAAAATTAGTATTTTGGGCTTCTTTCCTAGAATATCTCCCGTGAGGGCTGGCAGCATTTATGAAATGACCACATTGATACTAAGCTCATGATGGTTGAATAAATGTTTGGTTTTTTTGTTTGTTTTTCACTACTCTGAATGTGTCTGATTTTCTGGCAAACAGTCAAGAATTTTAGTATAGTTTTCAAAGCTGAGGAGAATAAATGTTTGACTTTTACTTCACAGGGTAAATATTAGACCTTTGGCTGGACTCAAGACCTAACTATTGAAAATGTCTTCCACCATTGAGTATTTAGAGCTAAACATTCTTTATGGCTGAGCATGCAGCTAGTAAGGGTTTCAGTCAGTCCTACAATGGTTCAGTCTACTAATCAGATGGATACATCACTGGTGAGTTAGAACTAAAAAAGCCTTAGTGAAAAGTCAGCAACCATGGAAGTAACCCAAGAATACCTAGGGATCTATATTATGACATCTCATGGAAATGTATTTAAATTCTTCCAACTTCCTGAAAGAACTTACTTTAAGAGCTTACTTTCCAGTTTGTAGTCAGTGCAGGGACTTGTCTTTATTGCTAGAATGTGCTTATGGGCAATATGAACTATTGCCTTAAGCACCTCCTTGTTTCTTCATGAAACTTCTCTGCTGTGTTTGTCTTGTCCACACTCACACTGCTAATTCTGAAGACTATAAAAATCATTCATTTCATAGAGCTTTTCTATATTACTTAATGGGTTATTGTGTAAAAAAAAGTATTTTCCAGTGCTGTTGCACTTCTGGTGAGGAGCCGCTCTTTGCTATGGTAATCTGGACTTTCCCTTCCCATAGTAGATGCAGTCTTTCAGTGAGAGTCCCATAATCCAGGGGTGGGGAACCTGTGGCCTCCAGGCCACATGTGGCTGTCCTCAAATTTGGGTTCAGTCAAAGGGCCTCCCGTATACTCGTGTAGAATGAGTGGCAGTTTAGACTGAGTCAAAAGAAAAGATCCATTACAGAGTGGAGAGGAGTGGATACAGGGGGCAATAGTGTACGGTTTGCTAAGTAACTTGTATTTCTTTATCAACCTGGACTTCTGGTGACCAGGGGAGAGCTGAGTCTTAAGGAGGACTATAGGGGACAATGACTATATTGTCACACTCTAGAAATACTTCCAGGGACTATATTA